AAAGACAAAAAAAGTCTCATCTTATACATGGATATATATATGGTATGTTCTGTGATGCTGCATGTTTCCTCTCTTGCCGCAAGGAACTAAATTCCTCGAGTGTGTGTTTCCTCTCAGACCATAGGGACTAGAGACTTAGAAAACCAGGAATGTCTGGCATCAATCCTTGCTACTCCAGGGCAAAACTGAGGGGGCTCTTCATACAGACTTGCCCCACATTTCACTGCATCAAGAACCAGTGGAGAAAAGGAGGGTCATTACCGAGCTTGCAGCTTCAGCGTTTATTTGTGAGCCGTGGGTTCACAGGTTAATGGACGAGAGGATAAATCCCAGTTGGTTCTTGTTTATCAGCACAAGGGAAAAACACTGGTGACAGGTCCAGGACGTTAAAGAGTGGAAATAAAATGGGATCACTCTGGGTCAGTCATAAATAAGGGACCCATTAACGTTGGCAGTGATGCTGCTGGGAGTGGGGCCGGCCTCAGGTCCGGGCTTGTTTGTTTGCCTGACTCCGTCATTTCCATGCAATTTTCTCCACTGGCGAGCTCCGTCGGCAACCACCTTGGGCTTTGACTTTGCGAAATCTTGGCAAGGGCTGGGCATGGGTGGAAATGTTGGGTTGCGTCGCGCTTCTAACCACAACACTACTATATTTCTGATTTTCTGTAACCGTTAAACTAATAAGATATTTGATTCTACAAGAAAGGAGATTCCATGTGAATATTAGGAAGAACTTCCTGACTGTGAGAGCTGTTCAGCAGTGGAACTCTCTGCCCCGGAATGTGGTGGAGGCTCCTTCTTTGGAAGCTTTTAAACAGAGGCTGGATGGCCATCTGTCGGGAGTGCTTTGAATGCGATTTTCCTGCTTCTTGGATGGCCCATGAATGAGGTCGAAGCCGGAACTCTCTGCCTTCAAGCTGATCTGCCCTGCAGTAGGGAGTTCCTTCGTTCTCCATTGCCCCGATTGGGCCAACCTGTATGAACGTGGCCACAGCAGCAGCTACAACTCAGAAGCCTTCTTATCACTTCGCTTTCTTCCCCCTCCTAACATTGTAACTAATCCCCCAATAAAAGTATCAATTAATTGTAACCTTTTTCCTCTCCAAAGTGTTACTTTGTGTCCTTTCATTGCCTCTAACCTCTCTATATATAAACTTTTCCTCTCCCAGGCTACCGATGGCTGCTGGCCCGCCCGGGATGCGATTTTTGCATCCCGGGAGGCTGAAACTGCATTCCCTTAAACCGCGGGTACGGAAACCCATCGGGTTCTCCGTATCTGCAAGTCAACGGATCGCTTTGAAATTGGTGTCATTCTTCTCCTGGGAAAATTCTAAGATTAATGGCTATCTCAGTTTCGCTCCACTAACCCCTCCGCCACAGGAATAACCCTTTTTGCCCCTCAAACTTCAACCTGGAACCCAGCTGTTTCTCTGAAGATACTGCCTCATTGCCACGGTTTTGTGGATCCTCAGGGAGCCTGCTGACCTTGGGAAACTGTCGCAGTCATCCTATGTGATTTTTGCATCCCGGGAGGCCGAAACTGCATTCCCTTAAATTGCGGATACGGAAACCCATCGGGTCCCCGTATCTGCGAGTCAATGGATCACTTTGAAATTGGTGTCATTCTTCTCCTGGGAAAATTCTAAGATTAATGGCTATCTCGGTTTCACTCCACTAACCCCTCTGCCACGGGAATAACCCTTTTTGCCCCTCAAACTTCAACCTGGAGCCCAGCTGTTTCTCTGAAGATACTGCCTCATTGCCACCATTTTGTGGATGCCCAGGGAGCCTGCTGACCTTGGGAAACTGTCGCGATCACCCCATAGGATGTCAGCAGGCTGCCTTGGTCCTTGGTGAGGAGGGATCTGTAGTTCTCTCCATGGATCTTGATCTCCAACACTGGCAGTCGGCTCATAAGAACTCTATGGACTCTGAGACACCTTTTCCAACTTGCCTCCCCTGGATTTTACAACTTTTATCAACTTTCTTCAACTTTTATGAACTTCTGAAAACTTTCTGGAACTTTTTCCCCAAACCCCATGGCCTCCCCATCATGACTTGGGGGCTATATGATTTCACAATATTGGACTCTCTATGGACTTTGGTGGGTGGGATGAGTTTATATGAATTTCCTTTTCCCCATTTCTCCCTTGTGCATGCCTTATGAATCCCATATGTGTGTTTATGTATAAAATATGGAAAGCCACCCTTTCGTGAACCCAGCAAGACAAAAACCTTGGGAAATTCTTTCCTATTTCCTGAGGTGAATTCCTATTGACTTAAGGCAGTGTTTCTCAACCTGGGGGTCGGAACCTCTGGGGGGGGGGGTCGCGAAGGTGTGTCAGAGGGGTCGCCAAAGACCATTAGAAAACAGTATTTTCTGTTGGTCATGGGGGTTCTGTGTGGGAACTTTGACCCAATTCTATCATTGGTGGGGTTCAGAACGCTCCTTGATTGTAGGTCAACTATAAATCCCAGCAAGTACAACTCCCAAATGTCAAAGTCTATTTTCCCCAAACCCCATCAGTGTTCACATTTGGGCATATTGAGTATCCATGCCAAGTTTGGTCTAGATCCATCATTGTTTGAGCCCACAGTGCTCTCTGGATGTAGGCAAACTTCAACTCCCAAACTCAAGGTCAATGCTCACCAAACCCTTCCAGTATTTTCTGTTGGTCATGGGAGTTCTGTGTGCCAAGTTTGGTTCAATTCCATTGTTGGTGTGGTTCAGAATGCTCTTTGTTTGCAGCAACTACAACTCCCAAATGACAAAATCAATCCCTCCGCCAACCCCACCAGTATTCAAATTTGGGCATACCGGGTATTTGTGTCAGTGAATGAAAATACATCCTGCAGATCATTATTTACATGGCGATTCATAATGTTAGGGTTATGGTTGGGGGTCACCACAATATGACAAACTGTATTAAGGGGTCGCGGCATTAGGAAGATTGAGAACCACTGACTTAAGGATTCCAACAAGGATTTATTGCGTGATAATAACAATGGTGCATCTTGGGTTTCGGAGCATGTCCACCAGGGAAGGTACCCCATGGTGAACTGGTCACTTGTCAACAATGGAACATCCTGCTTTCAGGGAAGTTCAGGATGTCCCATCCACCTCTCTCATTGTCATTTTCCCTTGGACTGAAACCCACACCGATAGCATCAATTAATCCCATATCTGAGACAGAAGGATATGAGGGCATGGCAGCCATGCCAGCCACTTTTGCATGTTTCAGCCTTTCAGGACAATACAAGGCCAGCTTGAGGAATCTCCGGATTATTGCCGGCCATCAGACAACACATTAAGTCACAATAATCCACTCAGTTTTCCTCCCAGTTCATTGTTTTTCACTTGGACCACCTCCTCCGCTTGCATTGGTCAAGAGCCCAAAGCGGTGCTGACTCCACCATGACCAACAGAAAAGACTTAAGGCCATCGAGTCCAACTCCCTTGGACAAGAAAACATAATCAAAGCCTTCCTGACAAAGAGCCATCCAGTCATAGCAATAGACAGATATATATGATTTACACAGAGAGAGATATAGTACCATAGATTTGAAAGGGACCCCTAAAGAAGCACAATTATATGTTCCATGTTCCAGAGTAGGCAAACCAGACAATCTCCACATCAACACTGACAAGAAACAACAAGAAATACTTTTAACCGACAAGCATCAAGACATTACATATAAGAGAAACCAACACTTCCTCATTACTTTGTTTTCCAGCTCACGAGGCTGGGCCACAGCAATGCGTGGCAGGGGATAGCTAGTAAATAACACTGTTCTACAAATTTTCAGTTTTTCTCAGTTACGGAAACGAAATGTGCCGTTTCTTAATAAATTTAACATGCTGAATTCAAATATAATAATTAAATGTGTTAATTGGCTCTGGTTTTTATGCAACAGCTATTTCAATTTTCTCCACAATAGGTAATTCGTTAATATTATGATAATGCGCCTAACCTTACTGCATGTATATAAACCGTGAATATTTACTAAATTTTAGTCAAATTATATTGCCAATAGTTTATACATGAGAAATATTTATTTAATTAGTCTATTGTTTATGTTTGTGCAGCAAGAAACTCTATTAGTAGGCCTAACGCAGTTGAAAAGTCTGAAAGTTTAAATGTCGCTTTAATCGTGACTTTAGTTTCTATCCTGTTTGCTTCTCTTGACTTTTCTTTTGTATTCAAGGAAAGGATTCCCTCTTACAATGCTCCAGCAGGAGTCTGACAGCATGGACGGAGTCCATTGGCCTTGACATCTTTTTTCCATAGTGCTTTATTTACACACGTGCGAGGCATAACTACAGTAAAAAGAACAATGTAAAACAATGTTTAACGATACTGTCTCAGTCTTCAACTGACTGACCCTCACCGTTCAAAAGTCTGGCCTTATATAGGGCTTTCTGGCTTTTGCACACGGCACTAATACTGCGTCATCAAACTTTCTAGAATATTCTAGAATCTTCCATAGTGTAAGTCGCAACATGCATTTTTTCAACCATATGTGATCACGTGATTGCTTATATCATAAAAACTAGAGCCAATATACATTTTTAAATGTCATTTTCGTTTTCAGCACCCCAAAACCATAAAGGAACAACTATTTTCAGGCCCGCAACTTTTTCTCCGTTGAACAGTGTAATAAATTTGCACAAAGAAGTCATCTAGATAATCATGCCTCAGCAAGTACACAAATGATGCACAATTTTACTTCTCTCTCCCAGGTAGATGGTGAATACTTTGAATATGTGCTCAGGTATAAATTGGCCAAAGGAGAGAACCTAAGAGGGCAGATCAAAAGATATACAGTGAATTGGGCCTGATCAAGCCAGGCTTTGTCTTTTTATCGCGAGCCTGAGCAAGCTGCGAGCCAATGCCTGCCTGCATCTTGTGCCTTCTTCCCCCATCCTTTCCAGCTATTGGAGGTATTCATTTGAAAGCGTCGTGAAGAAAAAAAAAGAGAGTATCAATTAAGGGACTTACCACCGCCTCCGCCCAGCAGGGAGCTGTTCGCTACAAAGAAAACAGAGAGAGAGATGATGTTATTTAACTGCTGTCTGCTTGGGAGCTGTTCATTCACAAAAAAAAAAAAATAGTGCAGACCTCCCTTATGCAAGGATGTATTATCATTCGGTACTACATCTAAATAAGTGGGTCTGAAAACACATGAAAGCTCTTCTCGAAAAATATTAAAAAACATATTTCTTGTTTCTACCTCTCTCTTTTTACTTTTTACGTAGTAATTTCTTGTTCCATGTCTTCCAGTTGATTCTGATTTAAAGAAACTCTACCTACTTATTTTAATAATAATAATAATAATAATAATAATAATAATAATAATCTTTATTCCCCCGCCACCATCTCCCCAATGGGGACTCGGAGCGGCTTACATGAGGCCAAGCCCAATTACAATAAAAAAACCCCACAAAAACACAAATCAAAAACGTGAACAATAAACAATAACATCATTTATTTATTTATTTATTTATTTATTTATTTATTGCATTTGTTGACCGCCGTTCTCAGCCCCTTAGGGCGACTCACGGCGGTGTACAACATATAAAAACAGTTTACAAAGCATATAATTAAACTAAATCATCCGCGTCGTCTCAACATAGAATCATAAGCCAATCTCGTAATCCATATTCCGTTCCAGTCGTCATTGCCAATTGTTATAGCCCTTAGTTAAACGCCTTTTCGAATAGCCATGTTTTTAGGCTCTTACAGAATGCCATAAGTGAGGGCGCCTGTCTGATGTCAACAGGGAGGGTGCTCCATAGCCGGGGGGCCACCACTGAGAAGGCCCTATCTCTCGTCCCCGCCAGACGTGCCTGTGAGGCAGGCGGGATCGAGAGAAGGGCCTCCCCAGATGATCTCAAGGCCCTCGTGGGCTCATAGGCCGAGATGCGGTCAGAAAGGTATCATAATTACATAAAACATATAAATAGATAATAATAATAAAAAACCCAAAAACACAAACTGAAAACGCGAACAATAAACAATAACAACATAATTACATAAAACATATTACAGGAGCTGATTATAAATTGTATGGTTTTAACTGTATTTGTGTTTAGATTGGCTGCAGTAATGCTGGAGCGGCCTAAGTCAGAGGAGTCCTCCATGTGCGTTGCCATGGAGACCGATGCAGGAGAGAGGGAAGTGGGAGGAGCTTAGAGGGGAGAGTTTGAAAAAACGACAGTTAAAATCAGTTAGGGTTTAGGTTTAGAGGAGTGAGCAGTCAGGAGTTAGGTTCAGAGGAGTGAGGAGTTAGGAGTTTGGTGAGAAGGAAAGGAAAGGTGGTGGAGTGATTTGTGAAGCAAAACTTTGAGGCTTTGAAAAGCTGGGTTTGGCTATTGGAAGTTTCTCAGGCTAGTGCAGCCGAATGGTGAAACATAGCTGGTATTCTTTTAGTCTAAGGAGAGGCTAAAGAATAGTTTACTTAGTATTTGATCTAGGGAGGATCAACTAAGGGAAACATCCCTGTATGGAAACTTTGTCTGAAACAAGTGCTCTACGTCAGAAAGATACTGTGTTACTAGAAAGAATGAACTGTTAAAGTTAGAAGTATTATTCCAAGTGCAACAAGGAAAAGTTACATGTTGCAACCACAAGACGTAAATAGATGAAGGCAAGCAGTAGTACAACTATATTCGACCTCACCTGGAATACTCTTGTGTCCCGTTCTGAGCAAAACAATTCAAGAAGGAGGTGGACAAGATGGTCTCCAGAGAAGGGCCACCAAAATGATCAAAGATTTGGAAGCCACAACAGTAGCAAAATGACAGTTATGAAGTAGCAATGAAAATAATGTTATGGTTGGGGGTCAGCACAACACGAAGAACTGTATTAAGGGGTCAAGGCATTAGGAAGGTTGAGAACCACTGGTTTAACTGATCATTTAATATAATAAATAATAATAAACATTTATTTGTACCCCGCTACCATCTCCCGCAGGACTCGGCGAGGCTCACAAGAGGCCAAAGTATATCATCCACAAAAACACAACAGACAACAATACAATACAATAATAAATAAGCAAGCAATAAAACAGTAACAAAAGCACGACACTGTTAAAAACCTGTGGCAGGGCCAAATGTAATAGTTACAATTCTAAAAATGCTGGGCATGTCCAGGTGAGGTAGACTGGATATTTTGGGAATAGAAGGGTGTGCAGACAATTCTAACTCTCCCATAAAGTGCATTAGGGACAATTGCTTGAGATTCCTTAATCTGGGAAGGCACACTGGAACATCCATGTTTTCAAGCTCCTTCTGAAGACTGCCAGTGTTGGGGAGTGCTTGATGTCCTTGGGGAGGGAGTTCCAGAGTCGTGGGGCCACCACCGAGAAGGCCCTGTCCCTCGTCCCCACCAATCGCGCTTGCGATGCTGGTGGGATCGTGAGCAGGGCCTCACCAGATGAACGAAGGGATCGTGTGGGTTCGTATACGGAAATGTGATCACGCAGGTAGGTGGGTCCCAAACCACTTAGGGCTTTGTAGGTAAGCACCTGCACCTTGAATTGAGCTCGGAAAATGAACGGCAGCCAATGGAGCTCCTTGAACAGGAGAGTTGCCAGGATTTCGTTTTGGGGGGGGGGGAGCTGAATTTTTTTCAGGGGGGTTTCAGGGGAGCTGAGTTTCGGGGAGAGGCTGAGTCTGAGTGAAAGAGGGTCTACCCTAGCAAACCTTTTGTATCATTACCCCAATACCCCCATGCATATGGGATATATTGAGTATGGTGATCAGATCATGATATGAATAAACATAACAGTTTAAGTAATGCACCAGTAAGGCCTTTTCGCGAACCACCATGACAATTTCGGGGGGGGGGGGCTGAAGCTACATGCCTGGGTTGACCTCTCTCTGTAAGGAGTACCAGTTAACAGCCTGGCCGCCACTCGTTGAACCAACTGAAATTTCCGGGACGTCTTCAAGGGCAGCCCCACGTAGAGTGCGTTACAGTAGTCCATTTAGAGAGAACAGTGAGCTTTCCTGTGGCACAAAATGATGGGTTCTCAACATTCAAGTCTAGGAAATGTGAGAAAACTGGCTCAGAAAGTGCAGGGCCTCAAGGGCATTCAGGAGAGTCAGAAGAAGCAACAGCAGATAAGAAATCGAGTGAAGAGCTGAGTGATAAGGAGAGTTCCCATGAAAACTCACATGTAGCTACAGACATCAGCAAAAGTCTTAATTCACAAATAAATAAAAAAAAGATTGAGTCGTTCAGAGAGAATATGTGGAGAAATTGTGAAGGAAATTGAATGATTTCATGGGTGTCTATTACAAGTTGTTTACCACAGGGTCAGTTCAGGCAACGCTGCTTTAGAGTGAGAAGCTAAGCCTGAGTTCTCCTGTTCCTCATTCAAGTCAAGTTTTGATTTTGGATTTAATATATCCTGGAAGTTTTCTATGTTCCTGTTCAAGTTTTACTAGTGATATCTTCTGGATTGTGGATTTATGCTGTAACTGTGATTTCTGGCTGTCCCGGGACTTTGTCACCTCTGGAACTGTATTAAGGGGTCGCAGCACGAGGAAGGTTGAGAAACACTACTATAGGTGATGCCAGCGTCGGGCTCTAAAGCACAATTAAGGAGAGATGTTGACAAGCTGGAATGTGGCAACTAAAACGATCAAGGGTCTGGAGACCAAGCACTATGAGGAGCAGCTTAAAGAGCCGGGCATGTTTAGCCTGAAGAAGAGAAGGTTGAGAAGAGACATGATAACCATGTATAAATACGTGAGAGGAAGTCATAGCTTCCTCTTCCCTCGCCTGCCCTTTCCTACGAGTTTCAGCTGGAATGAAATGCAATTCCAGACTTCATTCATGCTTTAGCAGTTTGCGGAAGGTTTTGCACCTGTCACCGGGATTTTGCCATGGCAACAGGAGCATCGCATATGATCGCTGTCAACGCCGAAACACCCACGATGGAGAAAGTCCCAGATGCCCTGGGAAAGTGGCCAAGACCGCCGTGGCCCTGTCCTCTGAGCGGCGGAGAGGGAGGCGGAAGGGGCGGGTGTGCATCAGCTTGCACAGATTGCCTCGGTGTGCGTGCATGTGTGTGCAAACAGACAGCAGGCAGCATCTGATGCGGGGATCAATCTGGACGGAAAGAAGGCTGCCAGGGAGATTTAGATATATGCAAAGTGGCTTATCAGGTCTTGCAGAATGTGCCGTTCCATGAGACCCAAGAGGCACGGAGAGCCACGTTACGCACGGCTCACCTAAGGCCCTGTTATCATCTCCATCGGGAGCGAGGAGCCCTTTGGCAGCATAGGCCCTAAATTTCAATTTGAGGAGTGTTGTCGAGCAATTTAGAATGGCTGTGGATTAGGCCCAAGCCATTGTGGGTTGCCTGGTGAGAAAAGAGAAGACAATATTGCAAAATAAATCTCACCAAGTTGAAGCAGAAGCCACCGAGATGTTTTATTTCATTCCAGCTGGGAAGGATGACGATTGCAGTAATTCTGGCAAACAAATCAACATGTCTGCTAGGCAGGTAAATACAGAATATATAGATTTCAGATCCAAAAGTTTCCATGTCCACTCCCTGAGCCAGCTTTGTTGTGATTGGCTGTGACGTTGGCAAGCCAGCAGGATAGGCAATGGTGGCCTGAGCTCTGCTTTGGCCTCTCAGCCAATGGGGTGGAAGGGAGGCGGGCAACAGGAAAACAATGAAGAAATGTCCAGTTGACTGGTTTTAAATGACTAATGTTTGCAAAATGGCCCGGTAATTTACGAAATTTCGGAAATTTCGAAATTTTGAAATCTTAAATTTCGGAAGTCCTCAGAATTTAGAAACGCTAGCACACCGTAGAAACGAAGCGAGTTTAGAACCAATTTTTTTCTTGATCGCCCAAGCCTAGCAGGCATCCTCAGAAGTTGTGAGGTCCTCACAACCTCTGAGGATACCTGCCACAGATGCAGGCGAAACGTCAGAAGAGAATGCTTCTGGAACATGATCATACAGCCGAAAAAATTTACAGCAAGAGTGTAATTTTTGCTGTGAGTCG